CCTGGGCAACAGATGCTGGCTCTGGGGACAGGGAACGTAACCTCTCTGGGGGGGAGGGAGCCGGAGGCTTGTTCGGGAGGTGGAGCGTTATCAGTTGGATATGGTGGGGGTTACCTCTACGCACAGCTCTGGAACCACACTCCTGGATAGAAGATGGACTCTATTCTACTCCGGGTGTGGGGATACTCATAAGTCCCCAGCTGAGTGCTGCTACATTGGACTTTACCCCAGTGGACAAAAGGGTCACCTCCCTATGCCTTCGGGTTGTGGAGGGGATAGCTCTGACTGTTGTCTTTGCATATGTACCAAACAGCAGCTCAAATTATTCAGCCTTTTTGGAGACTCTGAATGGAGTCCTGCATAGGGCTCCTGTAGGGGAGTCCTACTGGGAGACTTCAATGCGCATGTGGGCGACAATAGAGATAACTGGAGAGGTGTGATTGGGAGGAATAGCCTCCCTGATCTGAACCCGAGCGGTTGTTTGTTATTGGACTTCTGTGCTAGTCACGGATTATCCATAACAAACACCATGTTCGAACATAGGGGTGTTCATATGTGTACGTGGTACCAGAACATCCTAGGCCAGGGGTAGGCAATTATTTTTCCCAGGGGGCCAAATGAGAAACTGAAAATATTTTGGAGGGCCAGGCCAAAATGCCGAACTCAATTATGCATAATATACATTTTTTTCTATATTAAAAGCAGTAAATGGCATTGTTTTGACCACTGGTAAGAGTGTATGTTATTATTTGGCAATTCAAAGGTGAGGTTAGCTTTCAAAAGTATAATTTATTCAAATATAATTTTCAAAATGTGAAACAAAATGTGAAACATTTTCAGTCACATTAATAACAGAGGGCATTTTTAGTTTCATATACTATTGAAACAAGGATTTTCTTAGCTTTCTAAAGACATCACATCATCATCAAGTAAGGTTGAATGTCTGAGGTGGAGATGCGAAGCACAGCTGACAAATGTTCATCAGTGAGAGAGGATCTGTACCTGGATTTGGTAAACTTCATGACTGAGAATGTCTGTTCACATATGTAGGTGGATCCACAGAGAACCAACATCTTCTGAGCACGTCTCCTCATGTTTGGAAAGTTCTCCTCGTTGAGAGCAGAGTAGAACTCTGGCAGTGATGCTGACTTAAAGTGCTCTTCAGTAGTGAATCAGACTGCAGGTCAGTGAGTGGGTGCACTATCAACACTGCAGGTAAAGGGAGAGGAAACCAGCTGCATTTCATCCTCAACCTTTTGAAATCTTGAAAACGCCTTAAAAATTCATCACGCAGTGCTCCTAACATGGATGAGTACCTGTGCCGGTGATCAGATGATGGTTTGACTTCTTTCAGGGTTTTCACGTGTTTGACATTGTTGCTGCCTAGTTGCCTTGAAATGAATTGCAACTTTGTCATGAAGGCTTTCACATGGATGTGCATTTCATGAGCAAAAAGGCCCTCGCCCTGCAGCTGTGTGTTCAGTTCATCACTGCCGTCACATCAACAGCAAATGTTCAATCTGCCACCCAGTCCTTATCAGACAGCTCTGGGATGGTTTTGTCTTTCATCTCACAAACTCTTTTATCTTTGATTTCAGAACTCAAAACCTTTTTAGCACTTTGCCCAGACTGAGCCATGTGACAGCTGTGTGGTACCGGACATCACCATGTTCGCTCTCTTGCTCCTCCAATAGTGAAACAAACTGCCTGTGATTCAATGCTCGCGCTCCCATGAAATTAACTGTTGTAACAACATCAACCACATGCCTAAGTTTAAGCACTGACATACACAACGCTTGCTGATGAATAACACAATGTATGAACACCAATTTCTGCTCTGCAGTGAGTTCACTCACTTTATCTTGCATTCTTTTCAAAAGCCCAACATTCTTCCCAGTCAAATTTGGACATCCATTCGTGGTGACCCCTGCCAGTCTGTCCCATTGGAGTCCCAGTTGTCCATGCATGCGTTTACCTCGGTGAACAGATCACTCCCCGTTGTGGTTCCTTTCATTGGCCGCATTTCTGCCAGCTCTTCCGTAAGCTTGAAGTCGCTCTCCATCCACCGGGGAGATATGAGCAGCTGGGCCGTGTGACGGACGTCACAGCTCTCATCCAAAGCTTCACACTTCACCTTGCAGCTGGAAACTCCAGATTCTCCGCGATGTCCTCCACCCTCCTCGTCACGGTGCGGCGGGACAGCGGGATGTTTGAAACGCTTCTTTTTTCTCTGGGCAGCAGCGCTGCAGACTCGACCCACGCACTCTTCACAAACTGCCCCTCAGAGAATGGCTTAGTGTTCTAGGCGATTTTGTGGGCCATCACAAAGCTGGTTCTGGTCGCTGCATCTCTGGCTGCGTGCAGCTTTGTAAAACAGCCGTGTTGTTTTTTCTAGCTTGCTAGTAAATCCGTTAATCTGCGCTCGTTCGGCATCAGTCAAGTTTTTGTATTTACCGCCATGTTTGGTCTCGTAAAGCCGTTTCAAATTGTACTCTTTAAACATGGCGACATGCTCCCCAACAAACCAAACACACAGGTTTACCTTTAACTTCAGTAAAGAAAGAAATAGTAGTCCATTTTTGTTTGAAACAGAAGGTAGAGAGTTCAGGGGTGACCCGGAGGGAAGACAGGTTGTCAATCACACGCATTTCACGTGCACAGTTGACGTGCACGTGAAATGCATGCACCGTGAGAATAAATGGGCTTCAAAATAAAAGCAATGCGCTTTATTTAGAAAATATGTTTTTTTT